ATATGATATTTTCCTATTTTATCATGTAGATTAATAAACAAAAAATTGTATCATTTCTATTAAAAAGCGGGAAAAAAAATTAATAATGAGTGTAAATCGTAAAAATAGAAACATGGAAAACATAAAAAATAAAATAATTAATAAACTATTATTATGAACATAATAGTTATAATAATAATAATAATGAAGATAATACTAATAATAATAATATAATAAGAATAATAACAATAGTAATATAATAATAATAATATTAAAAATATACTCCCTCCGTTCCGAAAAACATGGAAGTTTTGGTTTTGGAGAGAGATTTAAGGGGAGTGTATTTTGGTATTGAATTTCCAAAAATGTCCTTTGATGTGATGGGTAAAAGTATAATTTGATGGATAGATTATTAGTAAAAAGGTATGATGTGATAGGTAGGATATGAAAAAATAAGGGGTAAAAGTGAATTTTTAATAGAAATAAAAAGTATTTTTGGGACGGATGAAAAAAGAAATGAGAAAAGTTTTCTGGGACGGAGGGAGTCTCACTTTTAGGATAATTATTTGCTAGAAAGAGTTTGAAAAAAATAGAGGCACTTGAGCTCTTTGGCCTAATTTCTCCATTTTTAAATTGATCATCATGCTTTTTTTAATTAATTAAATAATGAACAAATCAAAACATAGAATACTTCTATAGAGTATATTCTTTCAATTTTTTTTAATATACTAAAGTTACTCCGTATATTTTCCAAAAAGAAGTGAATGAGTTACTCAGAAAAAGAGTGAGCAAATTAAAGCAATAATTTTGAGGAGAGTGAACTCTATTTTTTTTAGTTTTCAGTTGAATATTCGTAAAAGTCGTAATTAATTTGAACATTCCATACGGGTGCAAAATCGAGATTCGATGCCAATCAAAGACCAAATTGGGTGATAGCAGGTGACATTAGAAAGTTGGGTTGGCAGCAGTTATTGGATTCATCCAAGGAAACCATTCAAAACTAAATTTAAAGAGTTTAAAAGGAAATATAACGTTGACTTTCAAAAAATCAGATCTTTTGTATTCCATAATTAAAACCATATTTAATTTCTTGAAAATCTTTCTATACTAGTATTAACCCCGTGTTTCGCACGGCTCGTATATATTCTAAATTTTAGAGATTTTATAAATATAATTTTAGTTGTTTTAGTTTTTTAATAATGACAAAATATGTTTTAAACTCGTGGAATATATATATTGGTATGTTAATTTAAACACAAACAAATTCTACAAAATTAATGGTCATTGAATTAAGTACTAAGAAATAGTTTTAATTAATGAAATATTTTAATAAAAAGTGGATTAATTACATGACAATACATCATTAGAGAATATATATGTGTCATAATGTCAGTTTTCAGTTGTCACCCTTCAATCAAACCAATTTAGTTCTATTTACTTTGTTAAAAAATATATGTAGCAATAAAATAAATAATGTAATAAGATAAAATTTTTGAAACAAAGTATTTAATTAATAAATATGCATATGTGATTAAATTTATATAATCATTTTTTGAAAAGTAATAAACTAAATAAATTGTGGATAGGATATATATATATATATATATATATATATATATATATATATATATATATATATATATATAGTATATTTTACAATGGTGAAATATATATTTATAGAATTACTAAAAAATGATAAAGTTTTATACAAATGTATTCAAAGATCTTTTGAAAAAATATAAATGGACCAATGAATTGAAATGCATATATCCACCTCATTAATGGGTGCACATGTGGAATGCCACATGTCAACACTACAACAAATGAACTCTATTTGATATAAGGATAAGAATAAGATTTATTTATTTATGCTCCATATCAGAAATACGAGAGTGGCAATTAAGAGTTGTACTATCGCAATTCTAAAGTTTACATATGAAATATTGTCATTCTCACATAGCTTTTGGAAGAAATTCTAACATATTTTTATGAGCTTGTAGTTGGATCTTTTTTTAATTTTACAAGACCCAATACGTTTAATCCTTTCATATTTCAATTTCCATATAAAAAATGTTGACATAGTGAAAGCATCTTGGCATAGGTGACAATGAAACCACCCCAAGCTTCTTTGCATTCAGTTACTCAAAAAAATAGTCACAAAAATATCACAAAAAATACAAATTACATTGTTCAAAATTACGTCAAAAGTTCTACTTCCTCCGTCACTAAATAAACTTCCGTTTTTGACTTTTTGAAGATTTAAGGGAGGGATATTTTTGTGTTGACTTTCCAAAAATACCCTTGATGTGATGTGTAAAAGTATGATGTGATATGTAGATTATTAGTAAAAAGGTATGATGTGATAGGTAGGGTATGAAAAAGTAAGGGGTAAAGGGGTTTTTTAAGGGAAAAGAGAAGTTTATTTGGGGACAAAGAAAAAACGAAAGAGGAAGTTTATTTAGGGACGGAGGGAGTACAAAATAAGATGCGATAAGAATATTTTATCTTATTAAATGATTGATGAAAATATGCAAACAAATACAAGTTATCGAGATGACATAATAGTAACTTGAAACTTTAATTTATTGTTGGACGGATGGAGAATTACTTTTGAATCCCTCTTTGAGAAAAAAATTACTCCCTCCGTCCCAAAAAATGCAACAATTACTGTTTTGGTCTCTCGATAATTTCTTTGTTTACTCATTTTGGTTGACCATTTGATAAAATAAAAATATTCTTGTCGCATATTTTTTTGTGAAACTTTTGATGTACTTTTGAACGGTCTAACTTTATTTTTATTTATCTACCATATTGTAAATAAAATTATTTTAAATGAAATGATATTTTGTACATCGTTCGAAATGTGAAAAACAATTTGGGATGGAGAGGTAGAGCATATAAAATAGTTAAAAATGAAAAAATTTAGTACGCAAATGGGAATTTTTTAAATTTTGACCTTTTATTTGTGACTTTAGAATTAAGAAATCAACCATAATAGGAGTGAAATATTGAAAAAGTATCAAAATAGGAGATACATGTTTTTATCTCCAAAATAAAAGTCCGTATTGTGGTAATGTGACACTGTAAATGGACATTTTACAATAACTTTTGAAAAAATCTCCTTGAATAGGAGTAAGAAAGTTTGAAAATATCAAAATAAGTCATGTGTCTTTTAAGACCGAAATATGAGTATAATGATAGTGTGATGTAAAAATATGTGCGCGCTGACAGTGTGATAGAAAAATGATGATAGTGTAATACTCCCTCCGGTCCTAAAAACTCGTCTTGTTTTGACTATTTTAGTCAAACAGTGACACACTTTGACCACTAATTGTGAGAAAAGTATATTAAATTTTAAAAAAAAATCAATATAATTAGGTTTATTTTAGGATAAAATTTTGTTATATCAAATTTTTATAATATTTAATTATTTAGATTATGTTTAATTTGTAACCAAAGACGACCACCGTTTGACTAAAAAAGTCAAAACAAGAAGAGTTTTTAGGATCGGAGGGAGTATGTCAGTGTGATAAGTAAACCGCCAGCGATTTGCAGTGGCACTCTAGTGGCCGATGGTGACGGATGGTATTGTGGCAGTGATAGTGTGTTAGTTAGAATGTGACAGTATGGTGAGTGTGGAAATGTAACAATGACATTGTGAAATCTTATTTTGTTCTTAAAAGACTTATAATTTCTATTTTGGTATTTTCATAATTTTTTTTCTCTTATCTAAGGAGTTCTCCCTAACTTTTGGGAATGTAATTGATCATGATTCGCACGGTAAATGCATTTTAATTCTTATTTCAAAAATAAAAATATATAACTCTTATTATGTTATTTTTTTGATGTTTTACTTGTCTTTTTAGAAATCATCCTAAATAGGACTAAAACATAGAGAAAAGTACCAAAATAAGACTTTCATGTTTTTTTCTCGGAATAGGACTTTGCACTGTGGTAATGTGACTTTGCATTGTGGTAATGTGGCAGTGTACATGAGCAAATTACTATACTTTTTTGGTAATGTATATAACCATGTTTGGTAATGTAAGTGTTGGGACTGCGCGTGCCCTCACCCCAACCCCGCATTAGTATGATATTGTCCGCTTTGGGCCAAGCCCTCACGGATTTGTTTTTGGACACTTCCCAAAAGGCCTCATACTAATAGGGTTGGGTGAACCTATATATTTTGGTCCATTTTTTCTTCACCCTCCGGTGTGGGACTTGGAGGAATCCCCAACAAATCTCCCCTCAACCAAGGACCACACAATTTCCGACCGCCTCTCCAGCGGTAATTCATTTTTCCTTTTATCTGCTAACCATCTTGCACCGCCGCACACTCTTTGCGGGACGCGCCGCCCGACCTCCTGTCGGGAAGACTTCCGACACAAGGTTCAAACCGCAGATCTTTCCTTTGCTAGGCTACACCATTTGATCTGCCAAATCATCTTGTACCGCCGTGGCTATAACTTCACGGGACACGCCGCCCGACCTCATTTCGTCAGGAAGACTTTCGACACAAGGCACCACCTGCAGATCCTCTTTCTTGGTCTTGGTCCTATTGTTACATCGTCACACCGAGATTTTTCCACACTACACAGTCCGCCTCACGCCACAAGAACCTGGGCTCCGATACCACATGTTGGGACTGCGCGTGCCCTCACCTCAACCCCGCATTAGTATGATATTGTCCGCTCTGGGCCAAGCCCTCACGGATTTGTTTTTGGACACTTCCCAAAAGGCCTCATACTAATGGGGTTGGGTGAACCTATATATTTTGGTCCATTTTTTCTTCACCCTCCGGTGTGGGGCTTGGAGGAATCCCCAACAGTAAATACTATTTCGGGAATAAAAACATGAAAGTCCTATTTTGGTATATTTTCAATATTTTAGTTCTAGTTTGGTCTTTCTCCTTGTGGTTTTCCTTATTAGTCATTGAATCTAAATAGGTAGATAAAGTGTTTTTAAGGCAATGAGGGAGTGTATATATAGTGTAAAGGATACATGTGATCTCAATCTCGCCAGAGCACAAAACACAAAACGGTCTCAAAGAACACTTTTTCTCCCTTTCTTAATCTCTTCTTCTTCTTCTTCAAGTCGCCCTTTTGTCGTCCCCTCCTCTCCCTCTTCTTCTTCTGTCCATTTGGAGTTCATGTTGATCCACAAGATTTTAGTGCTTTTCCTGGCCCTTTCCCATCTCCTCTCCCCTCTCTCTGCAACATCAAGTACTCAACATTTTAATTATAAGTCAACTCCCTGAAGAAAAAAAAAACCTTAAATTATTCCTTCAATCTTTCCTCAAATTAAATCGAGTGATCTGTATTTATCCTTATGTATCTATCTATTGTCCCCAATTTCCTCCACTTATACAATTGTTTTCTCTCGTGGACAGGAAATGTGAAGGAAATCATGGGTGGTGTTGGTAAAGCACGCCAAGCTGATGATGAGGTGATTTGATTTATATATCTGCAAAATAAAAATACTTTTTTCAATTTACAGATATTGAACAATAGCGAAGGTTTATTTGATGTGTGGTTAAGAAAATGGGGTGAAAGGTGGTTGAAACGTGGGATGTCCCCTACCATGGTCCAAATGGACGTAAACGCTCAAGCTTGTGGTTGTTGTGTTTTTATATTCTAAGATGTACCTCACGCGCACGCACATATAGTCTGTTTTTAGCCTTGCACGTATTTTAAATTGAGTGGCACCGAATTTTGAAATCGTAATTTCTTAAGTCAACTATGTTCTGATACCATGTCAAAGAACTAATTCAATCAAAAACTCAACTTTGTAGTTCTGGCCTTTTGGAAATTTTTTATATTACACACTCATCTATATGCCTTTAGACTCATCTTGAATCTTTTGATTCCAATTATTTAAAGTCCAAACATAAGTATCTAGTCTAGTGGGTGGGGTTCCCATGACATTGGATTCCAATGTCATGGGATGACCGGGGCGCTCCGGTGCCCCGTTCGTAAAATTGACGGTTCCTACCCCCTCTAACCCTCCTGATAAACCCTCCCACCCTGCCCTGACCCGAACACACTCTCCTACCCCCGTCAATTGCACCCCACAAGTTGATTTTGACTTTGAAGTCAATTTCATACTTCAATTTCCACACTACATTTACTAGATTCCATAATTTAATTTAAATTTAGAAGAGTATATCTTAAAGACTATCTGCATCAGAAAAGTGAGAAGATAATATTGGGTATCTAAACTCTTGAGTTGAACGGGATAATCAAATAATTTCAATCTTTTTTAATGTGGTTCAACCCAAGTGTCTTATGAGCTAATCCAGTAACCCTTACCCTATTCTAAATTTTATGTGGCATTGAGGCACATTTTGACCCACGTTGTTTGTCAAGGTGTCTGATCCCCGTCTTGACATTCATGTGGAATTTTACTAGGCTCGTTGTATCGAGATTCTAGTCACCGGACTCTAATCGTCAGATTCTAGACTCCCCTTAAGATTAAAGTAAAACATTATTTTTAAGTATTGTTTTTATGCTATTCTTCCTATTGATATACTCCATTATTGGTCCCAAAATGAAGTTCTTGTTTTGATTTAAAAGAGTATAAAAGCATTGTATATATAATTCATTTGATATATACTTGGAATTCAATTATATATAGGTTTTGATGAAAGGATATGAGCAGAGAGGGGCAGCTGTTTTAGGAAGAGGAGAAGAAGAGTTTGGGTTTATATTTGAGGAAGGAAGGGGAAGAATGAAGATTGAGATAAATGATTATGAAGGTGCTGGTCCCAACAGAAAACATGAGCCAGATGCCCCTCTTAGCCCTGGCAATGGCAATGGCAAAGGAAATAGATGAGGAATCAATTTATATTTATTTATTTTCAACTTTTTATTTTCAATAAATAAAAAAACATGGAGAACGTTTTAATTAATTTTATGTACTAGACACCAGCATATGTTGTAGTCTTATTTCTGTGTATGTTGGGAAAATATTTGTGCCGTCTCGTTTGTGACCGTTACAAATTAAGCTTTGTAACGTTAAGTCGTCTTCAGTTACGCATTCGTTTGAAATATATATAATTTAATTGTACGACGTTTTCAATATAAATTGAATTGGAAATAAATTTAATCAGATTCCGCTGTGCGTGTGGACAAATTTTTATGGGACGAGGAGAGTTATGAAATGACGAGTGAATATAAAGTAATAAATTGTGAGATTTTCACTAAATAGTACTAAAACATATGTCATTTTCTAATTTAGTACTTACACTTTTTTATTCGCTAAATAGTATTTGAATAATGTATTAATGTCTAGTGGCGGAAACAATATCCAATGATGGTGACATTTAGTTTGAACAATGTCAGTAGCGGTAGATATTAACTTGAACATTGACCAGTGGTACTATAAGGTGTTTGGGAGTGATTAGCTTATAAGTGGTACTATAAGGTGTTTGGGAGTGATTAGCTGAAAGCAATAGAACCTCATACATGCTTCTCCAAAACGGTATTCTATGTACAAAATAATGTTAGTGAAAAGTAAAAGCTGACATGCCAAACAGAGTAAAATCACTTTCCTTCAAAGCAGAAGCTAAATTCTTAAAAGCAGTGCACTGTCAAACACCATCTATTGAGAAATAAAAAGATATAGAGGGTGTTTGGAAGTGTGGTGATTTATGTAAAATTAGAAGTCATAATTTAGAAGCAGAAAACATGTATTTGTAGCTTTGCTAGAAAGCACTTCTAGACCTTAATTTTAACTTCTAAAGTCATAGTTTATAAGCTAAAGCAGATTAACAAACATTTAAAATTGTGTTTTAGTAAAGTAGAAGCTATAAGTTATTTTCAAATGCAATCCCAAACACCCTCATAATACTACATTGGAAAGTCATTATGTTTTAGTACTATTTAGGTAAATTCTTTTAATAAATTTTTACTCTATAAATAGTGGATGAAAAGAAAATATCTCCTCTATCTCAAAATAAGTGGTCGGCTACTTTATTATTCACATGATCAAATTTTATTTATTCTATTTTAGTTATTTATTTGCTAAAATAATATAGTCATGTCACTTCTTATTTCGTAGAGATTTCAAAAAATTTGTGATGTGTAAATTTTATTTTTTAAATTCCGCTTCAATTTTTAAAAATTTTATTGAAAATAAAATTAAGCCAAAATTTGTAAATCAAAATAAACAATTAAAATTGAGACATAAAAAATACGGAGTAGTATATTGCTAATTAAGGGCCTATTTGGGAATAGCGTTAGAGATTAGCATTAGCGTTTTCGAAAGGCTATCTACGGATAGCGTTTAGCGTTAGCGTTTTCAAATTAATCTGCACCGTTAAAATTTTATCCAAAATGCTAACGCTAATCTTTAACGCTATTTCCAAACAGACCCTAAAACTTTAGAGGGTGGAGCTTTAAAGAATAGCGTTTTGGTGAAGTTTTATTTAAGTGGCCGTAGTGCGGCACTATTGGTGGGAACCTCAAACATTTTGGTCTTGTTTGGATATTTACTGTTAGTTGTTAATTAATTAGTTCTTTGTGTTAGTTATTCTCTTTGTGTTAGTTATTCTTAATGGTTGTTGTAATTGAGTGTTAAAATTGTTTGGTGAAATTTCCTATTTAAAAATAGTTGTTTCTAGATTTAAAAATTATGTGTGTGTGTGTGTATGTATGTATATCCATTTTTCTTTTCTATATGTAAAAAATAAATCTTTATATACGGAGTATTAAATTACACTTACATACTCCATCCGTCCCGTGAAATATTTCCCCTTTCCTTTTTTATCCGTCCCACAAAACACTTCTCATTTCTATTAAAAAGTCACTTTTACCCCTTACTTTTTCATACCCTAACTATCACATCATACCTTTTTACTAATAATCTATCCATCAAATCATACTTTTACCCATCACATCAAAGGACATTTTTGGAAATTCAATACCAAAATACACTCCCCATCACATCAAAGGACATTTTTGGAAATTCAATACCAAAATACACTCCCTTAAATCCCTCCTAAAAAGCAAATGTCACATGTTTCACGGGATGGAGGGAGTATAATTCATACTCCCTCCGTTCACAAATAAACTCCTCGTTCGTGTTACGATGTTTGACTCAAGTTATTTTCAAATAATTTAATATAAAAAATGGTGTAAAATTTAAAAATAAAAATTACATATTAAAAAACTATATCAAGAGATCTACAAAACTAGAGGTGACATGACTATATTATTTTATCAAATGGGTGACAAAAATAGGCCAACAAAGTGAATAAAGTTTGACCATGTGAATAGTGAACTAGAAGTTTATTTGTGGACAGAGGGAGTATGAAATTAATAATATACAACTTTTTAATGATTTTTTTTTTTTGAATTTTAAAATTTTAAATTATAAATTTCATTTTTTTATTTTTTTTAATTCTTTACATATATTTTTGAATATCTTCCAAATAAATGATAAAAAATAACTTTTCTAAAAGCGAAGTCCAAAAGTTATTCTCCTTGGCTTTTCAGATTTTTGTTTTTCGGATCAAATAGCTAAGTGAAAAAATCATAAGCTAAACAGTAGTTTTGGTTGTTTGATGAGTCAAAAAAGTTATAGTCGGTCAAGGAAGCCAAATGTTATCTATCTAAAAGCTATTTTTCAAACACAACCTTGATTCTATGGAAAACTTCTTAGAGGGGTTGTTGGAGCCAAATTCATATTCTTTATTAATTTTTTGTTTATGGAAAACTTCTTAGAGGGGTTGTTGGAGCCAAATTCATATTCTTTATTAATTTTTTGTTTATTTTCTTCTTTAATTTTCGTGTTTCTTGAGGTCTATTTTGAGAAGATGAGGAAAGCAAAAGAGTAGAATTAGGTTGGTGCTTTGGATTGTCTAAAACGTTGAATTGTTTTCTAAATACATTTGTTATGTTTAGAAATTTTTTGACAATCCAAGTATTTGTTGCCTCCGCACAGAAAAGTCTCTCAAATAGATTAATAATGTTATCAATTGATTAAGAATTGATAAAAGAGATTGATTGCACACATTTGATAAAAGAATTTATACAACACAGAAGGGAATAGCCGAATAGGGATGGCAGTTCTTGCCCGACTCGATGGATAACCGATCCAACCAACCTGTTCTTGTCGACTAAACCCCAAAAAGAAAACGATGATGAACGGATGATGATGGACTAATGATGGATTGAGTCGGATGCGGGTGGAAATATTTTCCACCTTGTTGGGGAAGCACGGAACAAAACACAACGGAAGCGTATAAAATCTTTTCCCCAAATTAATGAGATGAATAACAAGCACAATAAACTCTGAAAAAAATCAACAGCACACACACAAATAAATGGCAGCGATAATAAAGTAGATGACACACGATTTACGTGGAAACCCCAAATCAAGGAGAAAACCACGGCCGCTCAACAACGGCTCCCAAACTTCCACTAATCACCAAGAATCAAGTGGGTACAACAAGTTCTCCTCTCTAGTAAACACTAGAGGCATACACAATCATCAAGGAGCAACCTTGGAACAACAACAATCAACAATTCACCATAAAATGGAGTAAAAACTCCCCAAAACGCAGGTCTGAAAACGCAGCTAGAAAACAACCTTCCGGGCATCAAAATGAGAATCTGACCGTTGGATTTGAAGAGGAGTATGTGAGGAACAACATACTAAAAATTGGACACTTCCTCCATGTAGGAGGGAAATTTCCCAACAAATCTCCCCCTCACTCCTACATGGAGTGAGCAAACAAACCGGCCTTCTCTCGACAAAACACAAGTTTCTCCTTCGGCATAGTCTTGGTCAACATATCCGAGCAATTCTCACTTGTGTGAATCTTCACAAGTTCAAAAGACTTATCCTCCACGGCTTCTCGAATCCAATGATACCTTCTCTTAATGTGTTTGGTTCGAGAATGAAACGCGGCATTCTTGGCAAGGTGGATGGCACTTTGAGAATCACAATGAAGAAGATAATTTTCTTATTCCAAACCAAGCTCCTCAAGAAAATTCCTCAACCATAACAACTCCTTGCCAGCCTCAACAGCTGCTATATACTCTGCCTCAGTAGTGGACAAAGCAACACACTTCTGCAATCTTGATTGCCATGAAACTGCAGCTCCAGCAAATGTCATCAAGTATCCCGAGGTAGACTTTGTAGTATCAACATCTCCAGACATATCTGCATCTGTGTACCCATCTAACATAGGTTGTCCAATACCAAAACATAAACAAACTTTGGAGGTACCTCTAAGATATCTGAGAATCCATTTCACGGCTGCCCAGTGCTCTTTACCCGGATTCGACATGTAGCGGCTAACAACCCCAACTGAATGTGCAATATCTGGCCTCGTACATACCATGGCATACATCAAACTACCCACGGCTGAAGCATAAGGCACATTGTTCATCTCTTCTTTTCTTTCTCACTTGTAGGGCAATGGTCCATACTCAACTTCATGTGGCCTGCAAGTGGAGAACTAACGGGTTTAGCATTGCTCATGTTGAATCCACCAAGCACCTTCTCAATGTATCTCTCTTGGGATAGCCAAAGTTTCTTGTTCTTTCTATCCCGCGTGATCCTCATGGCTAAAATCTCTTTAGCAGGGCCTAAGTCCTTCATTGCAAAGGACTTACTCAATGACTTCTTCAAGCTGGAAATCTTCTTGGTGTCCTGTCCAACAATCAACATATCATCTACATATAAAAGGAGAATAAGAAAGTCACCTTCGGGGTAATTCTTCACAAACACACAATGATCAGCATGTGTTTTATGGAAGCCATGATCAATCATAAAGGACTCAAACTTCTTATACCACTGCCGAGGTGCTTGCTTCAAACCATACAAACTTTTCTTCAAATGGCAAACTAAGTTCTCCTTTCCCTTAACCTGAAAACCCTCAGGTTGTTCCATGTAGATTTCCTTATCGAGGTCACCATGAAGAAATGATGTCTTCACATCAAGTTGCTCAATCTCCAAATCCATGCTCGCAGCTAAGCCAAGTATAACTCGAATAGAGGTCATCTTCACAACTGGAGAAAATATCTCATCAAAATCTATGCCCTTTTTCTGACTGAAACCCTTCACAACCAATCTTGCCTTGTACCTTGGTTGTGAGCTACTCTCATCATACTTCAATCTATATACCCACTTGTTCTTGAGTGCTCTCTGGCCTTTAGGCAACTTTACAAGCTCATATGTGTGGTTCTCATGCAAGGACGTCATCTCATCTTGCATGGCATCGTACCACTTCTCACGGTGCACATGTGACATAGCCTCATCATATGTCTCTGGCTCTCCTCCATCCGTGACTAGCACAAAATCATCCTCCGAAAGTCTTGTGGAAGGTTTTCTGACTCTGGTGGATCTTCTCAACTGAGGTGGTGGTGACTCTGAATGTGGTTGTGACTCTGGAATATCATCACCACCATCATCATGATGGTCATCTGCAGGAGACTCAACTGTATGATCATGCATATCTCCCCCATGATCTTGAGGGACTATAACAGGAGGAAGAGGTAGAACTGGATCAACTGTGATGCATGGAGAAGGATTTGCCTGCTTCTTCTCACAATCTTCAATAGTCTGATCTTCAAAGAAAACCACATCTCTGCTTCTGATCACTTTCCTATTACGTGGATCCCATAGTCTGTACCCAAACTCATCCTCTGAATACCCCAAAAATATGCACTCTTTCGTCTTCTTATCAAGCTTGGATCTCTCATCTCTGGGAATATGAACAAATGCTCTGCAACCAAAGACTTTCAAATGCTTATAGGAGACATCTTTCCCTGACCAAACTCTCTGAGGAACATCACCTTCAAGAGGAACTGAAGGGGAAAGGTTAATCAGGTACACGGCAGTGAACATTGCCTCCGCCCAAAAAGACTTTGGCAGCTTAGCATGAGATAGCATACACCTGATTCTCTCTTCAATTGTTCTGTTCATTCTTTCTGCAACTCCATTAAGCTGAGGTGTCTT